GCTGGCGGTGCCCACTGCTGAGGTCCGGCCTTGCGTGCTGTCGGGGCCTGCGAGCCGAGGTCCACAGTGGGGGCCAGGCTCCATGCTCCGCTGCCTGCCTTCTGCCATCCAGGGTGCTGCTCGAGTGATCCTGATTGGGTAATTTTTGAATCCCACTGTTGCTGATTGGATGTTAAAGCTTGTAGTTGATTGGACGCTTTTTGAGCCCACCAAGTGTATAAAAGCAAGAGGAGACCAAGGAAGGGGGGGTCAGAAGATCAGAAGACAGGGAAAGAGCTGTAATGCTTGCTGGGTTGAGCCTGACGGTTCTCCGGCTCATCGTTGCTGCTGGGTTCTTGTCCCCATCAAAAGCTGTAACACTAGCTGTACACGTTGCTGCAACTATGTATATATATATACACATATATATATGACATTTTCATATGATCAAAGTCTAAGGTGCTTTTGTAAAAGTGATGGGTTTGTTGTGGCTCTTTGTTTTCTCTCCCCACCCTAGGAGCGATGCCCACTTCTGCCCAGTGGGGCCCTTGGGCCTGCCCGCCTGCAGACACAGGCTTAGAGCAAAGCTACCGCCTCCTCACCCCCAACCCTACCCCGGACTCATTCAGGCTCCTGCTCTCAGCAGTCGATTTTAGCCTGTGGTTTCCACCTTTCAGAGTGATGGAAATAACCGTGTTGGGAGGCTGAGGCAGGAGGCTCGCTTGAGCCCAGGAGTTGGAGGCTGCAGTGAGCTGTGATCACACCACTGCTCTCAGCCTGGGCACCCTGCCGCACTCCCATCTCCCCATCCCTCCCCCTAAAAAAAAAAAGAAGATGACCTGAGCAGTTTGTTAACCCTGAAGTCTCCCGGTTCCTCTCCCGGAGAGTCAGATTGAGTCAGGGAGCACAAATCTCTGTTTTCTGAAATCCCAAGTGATTATAACACCGAACGCACGACAGCAGGTTGTCATCAGTTACGTATGTGCACCACTGAACTCTCATTTATTCCCCTCTTTCTAGATTGACTCTAAATCCTATTTATCTTATCATCTTAACATTTCTCAAATATGTCCTCTTCATTCCCAACGCATCTGGTTGGATAAAGTTCAAGTCCTTATATGGTATATAAATATAGATAGCATTATACATAGATATAAATGTCTTGATTTGTCCACATTGGGATGCTTTAGCGAGTGATGGGGGCCACTATTAATCATGCCAAGATACAGGGCGTGGCCCGGCCAGCCTGGAAGGGCGCCCCGTCTGTATGTAAACCCTCTGTGCCCCTGCCCTTCACCCCTCCAGCCTCCTCTGGCTTAGCTGTGGTGCTGTTACTCTTCTCCAAGTCTTGCGTTTTTTGTTGTTGCGGCCAAGACTGTCCGCCTGGGACCCGCCACTCCTACGGATTCCAGCCTCCCTGTTCCACTCGAAGTTCCTTCAATGTGCCTTGTGCTCTCAGCTTTCCCTTAGCGGCACCCCCCACGGCCCCCAGATTGGATTGGGCCATCCTGCCGTGTGCTCCCGCAGGGCGACTGTACAACCCCCACTCTGGCCTTATTTTTCTGTCATTGTCTGATTACTAGGCTCTGTCTTCTCCCAGCGTCTGGAAGCTCCTTTAGGACAGGGACTAGATTTTTACCCTCGCCTACATTTAGAGGCTAACAGAGTAGGAGGCCAAGGCAATCACTCAACAAAACAATGCATACAAAACCATTAATTACTCCCCACATTTCATTTAAGAAATACTTACTCAGGGGCGGGGGCGGGGCAAAAAAAAAAAAAAAAAGAAATACTTACTCAGTACCCACTACTTGATACCCTGCTGAGTCCTGAGCATACGAATAAAGCTCTCTTTCTAGTCCTGGGTTACTCCTTTTAAAGATATTTGCTTTTTTTTTGTTTGTTTGGTGGTTGTTTTGAGACAGGGTCTCTCTCTGTCACCCAGGCTAGAGTGCAGTGGTGCCGTCATAGCTCACTGCAGCCTCCAACTCCTGGGCTCACTAGATCCTCCTGCCTCAGCCTCTCGTGTAGCTGGGACTACAGGTGTGAGCCACCACGCCCAGCTAATTTCTCCTAGAGAGTCCTGCTCTTGCTCAGGCTGCTCTCAAACTCCTGGTCTCAAGCAATCTTCCCGCCTCCCAAAGTGCTAGGATCACAGGTGTGAGCTACCTCAGGGGCCAGTATTTGCATTTAAAAGGAGGATGTCTAAGTGCAGTGGTTGCCTTGAATGGAATTTTCTCCAGTTTTGGTTTCTAGATTGAAAGAAGATACTGAGTGACTTTAGACACTTTTCAAGTATTAAACTTTTTTGGTATGTTGGCAAAACAAAAATGGCCACAACAACAAAAAACGCAAGACTTGGAGAAGAGTAACAGCACCACAGCTAAGCCAGCTACCACTGCCGCCTGACCACCCAGCGTCAAGTCTGGTTCCTGACGCGTGCTGGACAAATGACTTAAGCTTTCCGTGCTTCATGTGTAAGATAGGGGTGGTGGCAGTAACTTCTTCCCTGGGGATCGTGGAGTATTAAGTGAGTAGCTGTGCCTGGCACACAGCGAGTACTCAGCAGATATTACTACCAGTAGGTGCTATGGTCCAAGGGCTACATCTCTAACTGGGGACCGCTGACGCACAGCGTGTGGCCAGACCCCTGGCTCTGTGACTTGGGCTGTTGCAGAGAAGCATGTGGAGCATTAGGGCCAGCTGGAAACAGCTTGAGGTTTGGACAATGGCCACTTTGAGGTTTTGTTCTAACCAGTGCAATCTTGGCACTCAACTTGGGACAAAGTAAATAGAAAGATAGTGGGAGGAGCTGGCGTGGTGGGGACAGCAACGTGGAGAAGGAGGAAGACCTTCTTCACAGGGGATTTCTCAAAGATTAAAGAAACCTGGTGTCAACATTTCTTTTAGCAGCCTGATATTTCATGCAGATCATCGTCATTCAATAATTACTGGTTGATCAGTAGTGCTTTGTACCCATTTCGTCTTTCACGCAGAGAGCACATGTAATTTTGACAGTAGAGCCTCTGCTTAGTGGATGAGCGAAGTGAGGAATACTGTTGCATGAGCTGCATTTGTCCAGATGTCTCCATTTCTTATCATTTGGGTTTACTAGACCTAAATCTCTTGTATTAGGGAAAGACTTTCGAACTGAGGCAGGATAATCCCCAGCTACAAAGTGCCAGGCACCGCACAAGGCACTGAGGACCCAGCTGTGAACACGGCAGATACTCTCCCTGCTGTCGCTGCCTGTCTGGGCGGGGAGAGATGAGCGTTGGATACCCAGTGGCACGGGTGCCTCAGACTCAGGCCTCTGGTCCTCCTGGTAGCGTCCTCCCCCAAGAGATGGCTCGTGAGGCCAGCACCCAGGAGAGGAGCTGCCTGAGGAAGAGGCTGGTGACACAAGTCCTGTGCCTGCTGCTCTGGAGGGCTGGGCGACCCTGAGGGGGCTGTGTGGGGCTCTGCAGAGCTCTCCCGCCATCCTTCCCTGGGCTGACACTGCTTATCCTTGACCCTCCTCAAGTCAATTCTGGTGGCAGCCTTTCCTGCCTCCCAGGGCTGGGTTGACTGCACTGCCTGATGCCCCCTCGGTCCCCTGTGCCTATCCTGTCACAGCCCTGAGCACCAGGGCTCTAGTTACTGCCTAACTGCCAGTTTCCTGGGCTCCCGGAGGAAGCCAGTGCCACCACTGGACCCCCAGCTTAGCACAGGGCCTGGCACACAAGAGTCACTCTGCAAACATCAGTTCCATGAAAAGGAGATGGAGAGGAAGAGGAGGAGGAGCAAGATGAAGAAGAGGATGAGGGGAGGAAAAGGAAGAGGAAGAAGAGGAAGAGGAAGCGGAGAAGGAGGTGGTGGGGGGAGGGCAGCTCCTGAACACTGAACACTCCTAGCTGTTTAAGGAAAGAGTGTTAGGTTGAAAGACTGAAGGCCTCATCTCAGTTTCCCCATTGATTCTCTCTTTGACTTTAGGCATTTTAATATGATTATAATTTCTGGAACTCCACTTTTTCCACTTTTAAATGAGGATAATACTAGACATTAACAGACTTGTAGTGAAGTTCAAAATAAAATGGTGTGTATAAAAAAGCTCTAAAAATTCAGTGTGCGTAACTACAAAAAATTGTTTGCATATAAAATGTAGAATTACAAAAGCGTCATAAATCAGAATGGTAGCTCAGGGGTAGATGTTCCACCTGCCACATACCAGGCCTAGCCCAGTGAGCTTTTTCTTTCCTGTGACATGTTCTGCTCGGGGCACCAAGAGTCCAGGTGGCTCTGTGGGAGGGGGCGAGGCAGCGCTGGGGGAGGGGGAGCCATGTTTCTTTTGACTTGATCACTGAGCCAGAAACTTCGAAAAACACACCCTGCTAGCCTGGCCCGAGATCCTCATTTGCAAGCACTTTTAGCTCCATAATACAGGAACAATTTCAGAAAAAGAAAAACATCAACACAGATTACGGAATATCAACAACACATACAAATTTGGAGCTGGAAGATCTTTGGTATCAATGCTGAGATGATATTTTCTCCCCTCCCCATTCCTTTCTTCCAAACCTTTGCCTCTGCTCCGGCTCCTGGCCCCCTTCCGATCCCACCCAACCCACTCCCTGCCGCTGAGCAGCCTCCCGCTGCACAGAGAAGACAGAGGCCACAAAGCAGGGACTGTCGCAGCTTCCTCCTCCCACCACCCACCCACTGCACAGTTATCTGCATCCACACTCGTCCTCTCCTCTTGTTTCTGCGCAATTCTCATTCTTCCACCTGTGTTTGGAATCTTATTGCTCTCTGTGTCCTTCAGAATTTCATTCTATGAATTAAATCTTCCTTTTCCTCCATCTTTAACCTCTGGGAGTTTCTTATCCCACTGCCAAGTTCACCCCACCCTAACCTTAACCTTAACCCTAACCCTAACCTTAACCCTAACCCTAACCCTAACCCTAACGCAGCACAGTGACTTTTGGCTGCAGGCTCTTTCACATCTTTTGAATTTTGCTTATTAAATGTATTCCTAGGCATTCACTAGGTATCCAATTCCTAGTTGATGAGTTTGACCTCACTTAAATGCAGAAGATTCAAAATCCCTAAACCAAAGCATGGCATCAAAAACCAGTGGTGGGCCCCAACGTTGCCTCCCTTTCTCTTTGAGCTGTGACTTGCAACAATTCCTGGGGCTGTGAGCTCCCTACTGGCAGAGGCCAACTCTGTTTCCACACCTCTACAACCCCAGTGCCTAGCTCAGTGCCTGGGTCTCAATGAACCTCTGTTTAAAGAATGGAACCAGGATGAGAAGGGATGAATATGTCATCGGGGTTCAAATGGCCTATTGGAAATTATTTTGAACATTGGCATTTTTAAGCATGAAGAATGGTAAATATAGAAGATGACAAGTTACACGCATATATCCGTTTAATAGCTATGAAGTCCTTTCTCATGCACTTTAATCTGATCCTCACGTACCCTTGAGAGAAAAGCTGAGCCCCAAAGAATCAGGTTTCTTGCTCAAGTTCACTGGGCTAGTAATTGGCGGGTCAGAAGCCAAATCTCGTTGCTACTGTTGGGCGTTGAGCTGTTTTCTGCTTTCAACAAACAGGGTTTGATAAAACACAGTCCTTCTTCCTCAACTGCTTAACCAAGCCTATTGTGAAAGAAATTGTCAGTGAGGAAGAAAGCATCACATTTCTCTTTCAAAATGACAAATATGTACTCTTGAAAATGAAGCTAAAATTCCAAGTTTTTTTTTTTTTTTTTTTTAGAGCCAGGGTCTTGCTCTTGCTCAGGCTGGTCTTGAACTCCTCAGCTCAAGCGATCCTCCTGCCTTGGTATCTCAGAGTGCTAGGATAAAATTGCAATTTGTTATGAGAAAAGCCAAATGAAGTTTTTTCCCTTTAAGCTAAAAGCTGCAAAAATTTAAACGTTAAATATTTCAATATGTAAAGCATTTCCCTAAAACAATTGGTCCTGCTGTGCTGATCAGTAGTGTGATCATGCCTGTGATAGCCACTGCACTCCAGCCTGGGCAGCATAGTGAGATCCCATCTCTTAAAAAAAAATAAAAAAATAAAAGAGTAAAAAAAAATTGGTCCTGAAATGCACAGATTACATTATTGCTAATTATTATTATTATTTATCAGATTTTAAACTGATGAGGCAGACTCATCATTGGTAACATTTTCCATTAAATTCCTAATACAAACAAACATTTTGATCTAGATGTCTATATCAGGGTTGGCAATCTATGGCCCAAGGCCTGTTTTTGGATAGCCCAAGAGTGAAGAATGGTTATTACATTTATAAGGGTTGTAATAAAAGCAAAAATATGCAACAGAGACAGTATGTGGCCCACAAAGCCTAAAATATTTACTAAAAAAAGTTTGTTAAGCCCTGGTTTGCATTCAAGTGTGTGTGTGTGTATATAAAACCCTTGGGCCAGAAAGCCTAGCATTTATCTATACAGTCATGTGCCGCATAAGCACGTTTTGGTGAAAGATGGACTGCATATACGACAGAAGTCCCATAAGATTACAATACCATATTTTTAGTGTACCATTTCTACGTTTAGATGTGTGTGGATACACAAATACCACTGGGGTACAGTTGCCTACGGCATTCGGTGCAGTAACACGCTGCACAGGCGTGTCGCCTAGGTGTGCAGCAGGCTATGCCGCGGAGGTTCGTGTGCGCACACTCGATGTTCCCACAGTGACGGAATCACCCAATGACGCATTTCAGAACGCATTCCTGTCGTTAAGCGACCTGTGACTGTATGTTTACTTACTCCCTGCCTCATTCCACAAAGGGTTCTGTCAAAGCAGATGACTCCCAGAGGATCCATAAATCTTCTGCAAAATAAGCTCCTTCAGCTGTATAACCACGGCATGCGGGGCTTAGAAGTCGAAGGAGAGAAGCAGGGTTGGACGGCCTGCTGTGTTCCCTGAGAGGAAATGAGAAACCATGAGAGACTCCGGGGAAGAAGGCTGACATAAAAGAGCAACCTCCACTAAGAAAGACGATTTACAACGTACACAGAACTTCATATTTTACAAGTGCATTTTAATTCCATTTTATCAATTTTCCAGTAACTCCTGGTAACTGCAGACAAATCAATGAGAGAATAATCGTCTAGGTAACGCTAAGCAGTGATCTGTCAGTCTGAGAATTGTTTTCCGATGCCACAGCAATACGGCTTTTAAATATTCCTGATTTTTCTCTGGAGGCGATTGAACTGTTTTCTAATGGCCATCACCGTTATCTTTCAAATCTGAGATTTGAAAGTGGAAGTTAAGGTTTCAGGGTCCCTCAATTAAGGTGGAGGATCCAGAGAAAGGGAGGACAAAGGGCAGGGCGGGGCAGAAGGGAAAAGAGACAGACAAGTGTCTTCCTGGCCCTGGGCCTTCTGCACTTGTTGCCCAGGGAGTAACCTACACAGAGTAAGGGGTACCTGGGGGGAGAGGGTTAAAGCAAGGGAGAAAATAACACACCAGAAACTTGGGGGAGCAGCCCGGGTTACAGGAGCAAAAACACCAAAGGTGTTTTCCTAATTTTCTTAGAATCAGCCTTCAGGCTGGCGCAGTGGCTCACGCCTGTAATCCCAGCACTCGGGGAGCCCGAGGCGGGCGGATTGTTTGAGCTCATGAGTTTGAAAACAGCCTGAGCAAGGGTGAGACCCCGTCTCTACTATAAGTAGAAATAAATTAATTGGCCAACTAATATATATAGAAAAAATTAGTCGGGTGTGGTGGCGCATGCCTGTAGTCCCAGCTACCGGGGAGGCTGAGGCAGGAGGATGGCTTGAGCCCAGGAGTTTGAGGTTGCTGTGAGCTAGGCTGACGCCATGGCACTCTAGCCTGGGCAACAAAGTGAGACTCTGTCTCAAGAAAAGAAAAAGAATCAGCCTTCACCAAATCAGTGAATCCTCCCCTGCTTACCTAGTCAACACTCCCCAAAGACAACTGTGGACAATGCATTCATCTGGCTGGCTGTCTGAGAGGAGAAGTGATTTCTTAAGCCTATTGCTCAAATAGCCTCTGAGTGTCTTCTCTACTTTGATGTCTCCCCTCCCAGCGTCTTAATGGTGGGACTGCAGCCCTCAAACCATTCTTTATTTGCCAGGAGGAAGAAAGAGGAAAAGGTCGAAGAGTGAGAACAAGATCAATGACTTGCCTGAAGCTAATTCTTTTAACTCTGCGGAGGGAGCAGTCCCGTGTTTCTGAGAGAATTCCAGAGACAGGTAGAAGATTGCTCTGTGGGTCCTCTGTATTTGTTAGGGTGGCCCTAGCTACCTTAGGCACCCAGCTCTAGCTACCTTAACAAATAAACGTGAACTGGATGACTTAAACAGCAGAGGTTTGTGACTTACAGTTCCAGAAGCTAGAAGTCCAAAGTCGAGCTCTTGGCAGAGTTGGTTTCTTCTCGGGGCTGTGAGGGAAGGGTCGGTTCTAGGCTTGCTGCAAGGCTTGTAGATGGCGTCTTCTCCCTGGGTCTCTAAACTTCCTTATATTTGTGTCTATTTCTAAATTTTTCCATTTTATAAGGACACCAGTCACCCTACTGACCTTATTCTAACTTAATTCAAAAACGTTCTCTCCAAAACAGTCACTTTCACAGGTACAGCACATATGAATTTGGGGACAATGATATTCAAATCATAGCAGAGAGGGACAGGAGACGCAAGAACCTGTTGAAGAAGCGGAAGGATCGCTGGAGGAAATGGGAACGAGCTCACCACAAACAAGTGAAAGATTAAATAGCGCAAGAGTCCAGCTGAGGTTGGAAATAAAAATAATAATAAAAATAGCTAAATTTATTGAGCTGCTACTATTCGCCAAATATTACATTAAGCGTTTTGTGGCATTATCTCATTTAATCCTTCTAGTAGTCATGTGAATACTGTCGTTTTCTTTACTTCATAGGTGAGGAGCATGACGTGATACTAGGACACCCTGCTGAATCATTTTTCCAGCTGTGCTGATCAGTGTGGGCGTAGGAGCAGAAACCAGAGGATGGGCAGGTTGGGTCGTTGGCTGTGGATCTGTTCGTTTAAGGAAAGGACAAGAAATTAAGAATCGTAATGGTTTGTGCATTTTACTCAACAGGACACTAGTCCATGAAAAATTAGTTCTTCAAGGGTCTACTCAGATCTAGAGTGGTGCTGTTCATAGAACGTCCTGGTGTGATGGGAATGTTCTATGATTTGAGCTGTTCAATACAGTAGCCATTAGCTCTATGTGGCTATTGTGTCCTAGGAAACTGAACTGTAAATTCTATTTACATTTGAATAGCTGTCTGTTGCTGCTGGCTACTGTCTAGCACAATAGCACACATCTATGGCGTGCTGGAAAACAAATAGCTCCCTGGGTGCACGTTGGACCTTTGCAATCACGTGATAATCAAGCTTAGATGGGGGCATTGGGGTGGACCCTAATCCAAAATGACGGGTGCCTTTATAAGAAGAGACAAAGGGACAGAGGAAAGATTCTCATGTGAGGATGGAGGCAGAGAGGTCCGAAGATGCAGCCACAAGCGGAGGAATGCCGGGGGCCACCAGAAGCTGGCAGAGACAAGGGAAGACTCCCCCCTGGGGTTTCAGAGCAAGCATGGCCCTGCCAACACCTTGATTTCTGACTTGTAGCCTTCAGAACTGTGAGAGAATAGATTTCTGTTGTTTTAAGCAACCCAGTTTGTGGTCCTATCATGGCCTTCTCCTCTCTGTGTGTCTCTGTGTCATTTGTCTCTTACAAGGACACCTGTCACTAGATGTAGGTCCAACCTGATTAATCCAGGATGATCTCATGTCGAGATCCTTAACTTAATTACACCTGCAAAGACGTTTTTCCAAATAAGGGCACATTCACAGGTCCCAGGTGGTCATATCTTTTGCTGGGCGTGGGGGGCACTCTTCTACCCACTGTAGGCACTCTCCTAAACAAATGTCCCTTGGAAACCCTCCGCCACTGTCCGGGATCACTTCCTGGTCATTTTTTAGCTGGCTTATAATAAAACTTGCCTCTGCCTTCTGGTTCCTCCTCTGAGCAGCATCAGAATGATCTTCCTGCAATGTGAAACTGATCGAGTCACTCCCTGCTCAGATAGCATGAGACTGCATCAGCACTGTGATTCTGAGTGTTTCAGAAAATATGTTGTAATGGAAATGTTTCCAAGCTTTCAAAGGACAGAAAATTGGCTCCAATTTGTATATTAGAGCAATTTAAATACATTCATCTGGGCGATGCCTGCACATAACCTCCCACTCTGATGCCTGAATTAATGAATTAATATCAGGGCTCCAGGTTCTACCCAAATGCTTTATCTAATTGGATGCAAATTAAATATGCATACTTAGTAAACTGAATTTGGAAACTCCACAGTCCCTCAGAGGAAACAAACTTCCAAATGTTCAATATGGCCAACCAGTTCCCTTAGACCTTAGCAGGAGATAATTTTCTTAAGTTTCCCACACTTTATCATAAATTGAGGACACAGAACTCCCATTATACATGAGCTAGCACAGGAGGGTTAGCCCAGGCCCAGAGCCAATTCACTTAAGACCATGCAAATCTGCTTTATTTCAGCAAATGCAAAAAAATTAAATTAAAATGAACAATACTTTTTTAAAGATATCTCAGTGCTTCTTATAGAATGCTAATCTCCAAGGATGTGCTGAAAATCACCTGCTGGATCACTTAGATTTCCAAAATCACTAAACAGACCAAACTCCTAATGATTTAGGAGCCTTTGCCTTTGGAAAGCAAACCATATTTTTAAAAATGTAATTGTGTCTCTGAAGCCTAGACAATAAAGTTATAAGACATGACTAGAAAGTCTCAAGTTATCACCAAGTTGAACTTTTCTCTTTGGGTCTGTCCAAGGCAGCCCAGCCAGACCCCTGGCATGTACCACTGTGGGGGACAGGATTAGGTTCGTTATGGTGTGACATTGGAGCTTAGCTGTTGCTCTGATTTATTAAATCTCTTAAGAGAGCAAGTGACCGAAATTTAACTCAAATGTATGTAATGTAAAACAGCGACTCTATTGGCTCAGTTAACTGAAACGTGGAAACGGCTTTAGACATGATTGAATCCAGGGGCGTAAACAAATGTCATCAGGACATGGTTCCCTTTTTCATCTTTTTCTATTGTTTCTTTTCTGCTGGCTTCATTCTCAAGACACCTCTGTCTCGGTAGCTCCAGGCTTACTTCCTACTAACTCAGCAACCTTGGTGGAAAAACTAGTACTTTGTTCCTCCAAAACTTCCTATTCCTAGCAAAGTCCTAGGATTGGCTTTCGCTGGCCTAATTTGGGTCACATTTCCATCCTTAAACAAATCCTGGGGTTTGGCAGAACTGGGTCACTAGCCCATGCCTGGAGTTAGTGATGGGTTTTGCCCTACCAGAATCACTCAAGAGTAGAGAGATGTGGTTTCCCAAAGGAAAATTGAGGTGTTGCTTCTAAACAAAGAGGATTGGGTGCTGGGAAGGCAAAAGCAGTATATCTGCTACATACCAGGATGTGAGTCAGCAGTACACAGAGTCATAAAAGCCCTCTGTTCCATCTCTGAATTTTTACTGTCTGGTAGCTGAACGAGAAGGAACTCATTGGTGCAAAATAACGTATGTGTATATTAATATATATGTATATCTGGCCGGCTGTGGTGGCTCACGCCTGTAATCCTAGCACTCTGGGAAGCTGAGGCGGGAGGAATGCCTGAGGTCGGGAGTTCGAGACCAGCCTGAACAAGAGCGAGACCCTGTTTCTACTAAAAATAGAAAAATTAGCCGGGTGTGGTGGTGAGCACCTGTAGTCCCAGCTACTCAGGAGGCTGAGGCAGGAGGATAGTTTGAGCCCAGGAGTTTGAGGTTGCTGTGAGCTAGGCTGATGCCATGGCACTCCAGCCCAGGTGACAGAGTGAAACTCTGTCTCAAATAAATAAATAAATAATAAAAAAAGAAAAAGAAAAAAAATATATGTATAACTGTATAGCCATTTTGATTAGAGGACACCACTCCTGAACTTTATCACTCTTCAGATGCTGATGCATATGAAATTCTGAAGAGTCCAGGTAATGCAATTCAGGTTTATTTGTGATGACTATGTACCAACAGGCTGCAGGGACTGATTTGCTTCTCATGCACGTCGGTACTAGTCTGATTGCCATCATGCTGTACAGGTCATTCAGTTCTGAAGGACCAAGAACTTCCCTTCCCTCCTCATTGCTTTAGGCCTGGTCTTTACTAGAATGCTCCTCCCAGGACTCTGCAGTCTGTGACAGGTTGACAAAGTAAACCTTTGTCACTTCTAGGTTTGTTTTTTCTGTGCTAGAAAAAAACAGCCACTGAATGCTGATTTATTGAGTACAATTTGCCTGAGTTTTGAGAGCTTGGAAATGTGTTCTTTGGACTACATATTTGCCCTAAAATACCCAGTGGACCACCACACATGTACCCCTACCCCTCCCCCTACATTACCGATGGTGGGATGGCCATGCTTGCTGTTTGTTTACAAAGGTCTGTTCTTTAGGACTGAGTCATTAATTCAATCCTGTCTTCATAGCTTATTAGAGACATCTCAGGTAGGACATTTGATTTGAAAGGTACCTACAAGCCCATCTTCTTTTCCATTGATTGATTGAACCCTTTTCATACTGTTTCTCAAAGATGTTCAATCAGTCCTGCTTAAGTACTTCCCCTGAGAGGAAAGTCACTATTTACAGTTTCCCCAGCTAAATTCCATTGCTGAACAGTTTGCATCCTGAGAAAGATCTCTCCCATATAGATTTAAAGTTGCTGTCTCACTAATATCCACTTCTTCTTAAAGGAACAAAGCAAGTTTTGAGGAATCTATGTCTTTTTTTCAGTAGGAGATCAGGGTTTACACTTCAAACGATTTCTTTGGTATCTCTTCATGAGTCAGAGGCTCATCATCTTTATTTCAGATCAGTAACAAGGCAGGTTTCTGGAATGTGTATATGGTTTCGTATAAACAGTCCCCAAATTCATGCATCAAACTGACAAAGTCTAGACTCAAGAGTTTGTTTCAAGAAGAAATAAAAAGCCAGCCACGATAGAAAGAATTGCAAGCCTGTAAATTGTGCCGAGGTGTGTTTATATAAGTAGATTAGAGTTTAAATAAAGCAATCCAAGAGTAAACTAAACCACAAGTCGTAGTTGTAAAAGCAACCTCAGAAGGGTCAGTTGAAAGGAGAGGTTATGCTTGTCTTGATTGTGCACACAAGCAGATGGCCAGGACATCAGGTCACTGCTTCCAGGGGGTAAGTTTCATTATCATTATTCTCTTCTTGACAAAACGAAGTTCAAAGAGATGAGTGACTGCCCCAAGTCAGACAGGACTTTCATTTCAAGGGGCAGGAATACCTGTGACCACTCTGACCTAGCCCAGGTGACAATTTACAGCTGATGCATATAACCCTGTAGACTCAGACCAGTACCCCAAAACTGTTTCCCATTTCTTGAGACAGCAAGCTCACCTGGGAGTGCTGTACAAGCTGTGAATTTTGTGAATTTTCATCAGTTTCTTACAGATATCTGTGACACCCCCACCCCACCCCATGAATATCTAGGACTACTGAATCATAGGTCAAACCATCAATCACGTGTTTCAGAGAACCAGGGACATAATTTGCTCAGTGGTTTTGGCTTATGCTAAGGGTTAAGTAAAGTCAGGAAAGGAGGATGGAGGGAGTAGTGTATTCAGGTAATGCATTCAAGTTATATATTAAAAACAAGCCTAAGAAGAAGCTGAAGCAGGAAGATGGTAGGGTTTATAAGCAAAATCAATGCTTTATAAAATTTCATAGTGTTCAGTAAATGTAAGTTTAAAGCAAACCATACTATATATGTATAATTACAAGTACATAAAATTGTACAGTTATACATCACTTAACGATGGGGATACATTCTGAGAAATGCATCATTATGTGATTTTTGTTGTTGTCTGAACATCATGGAGTACACTTACACAAACCTAGATGGTGCAGCCTACCATAGACTTGGCTCTAGGGTGTAGCCTATTGCT